GAAATACACGGTGCAGGTACAACAAACAAAACCCCAAGGGGATACGATCGAAGACGAAGAGGGTGGGTATCGAGGGTTTGGGAAATAGGCGTTGAGTTGCACGCAAGCATATCAGAGCGAATGATCTTAAATTGATTGCTGTTGCTGTTGTTGATGTTGTTGGTGTTGTTGTTGGTGTTGTTGCTGCTGTTGTTGGTGTTTTTGTTGCTGTCGGGGGGCGGCAATTCGGGCGGGACCCCGAAACGCTTGAGCGTGAGCCTCACCTGGAAAGGAAATGCAGCTGACGCCGAGGAGAGAGCGCCAGGCCAGACGTAGGGGGTCCCATAACAATTGTTCAAAATTTGATATTGGATTATGTTCAGACTGTTCGCTCGTATCTGCTCGCGTGTCACTCAAGCAAATCTGAGCCTCAAAATCTGCTGTTATGAAAAAACCCAGGTGCGAGCCCCAGGAGGGGCAGTCCGATTGAAAAACTACGAAAGTGAACCAGAGGGGAAAACGAAACGAATTGTTCTTTAGGAATCAGAAATCAAAGGTTCCTGCCTGATACTTACTCACAATTGACTCAAAATAGCTCTCGCGCGGGACATCCTGCCAATTGTTTCAGGAATCGCGCTCTCGCGTGGGAACTCCTCCCAAATTATTGACACACCGCGCCATGGACACTCAGGAATCACGCTCTCGCTTTGGACATCCTCACGAATTACTTGGAGATTGAGCTACCGCTCGGGACTTCCTCGCGATCCATGCGGACTGATGCTTCAACGACCCACCCGCTCGACCTGGCCGTCTGGGCCCGCCCGCCCGACCCGCCCGTTAGGGACCGCCCGCCCGCCCGCCCGTCTGGTCCTGCCGCTTGTTTTCCTGTTACTAACCCCCCTCCTGCTAGTCTCTCTCATACTCCATCCTTATTCCTTCCACTTGTCCTTTCTCTCCACCCTCCCTTCCCCTGCTTTAGGGGCTGCGCCAACTACATGTGGCACGAAAGAAAGATGTACCCCCAAGGGCGGGTATCAAAAAAAATCGGATATACATGTTGAATGACACACGACCGGATAAGAGCGAACAATATGTTGCTACTGCTGTTGAAGAGCCGTATACGGCGTATCCCCGAAACGCGCTAGCGAAAGCCTCCCTTTCAAAGAAAATGCAACCAGCGCCGAAGCGAGAGCGCCCGAGCGAATAGAGAGGGCCCAACAACATTGACTTTTTGGTAACACGATGCAATCCGAAGCCTCAAGCGATACTCGTTTCGTAGCTTTGTTTGGCTTGGTTCGCGCCCCCACCACGCGGGCGGGCCCCAGCCGCGAGCGAGGGGAGGGGCACGGGTCCTTCCGAAAGGCGGGCGGGGCACTGAGAGGGGGTGGGGAGCGGGGAGCGGGGCGCAGGGAGGGAACGACAAGCGACATCACAGTACATCCAGGCATCGCGCACGGCAACTCATCAGCGTGACATGCGGCAAGTGCAGGGGGCAGTGGAACGAATCGAGATCTGATGATGTCGTTCGAAAGATGCTTCCTGACAGTGCACCGTGATGGCTCAACTCGTATTGAAGCATGAAAGGCCGAGCGGTGGGAAAAAGCCTAAGCTACTTGCCGAACAGTCGCACGTCCTCCAAGTTCCGAAACGCGAGGTGGAGTTTCATCCATGGCCTCGCCCACATGCGACGTGAAGATAGTAGCGATTCTGCGCTGCTCACTTTGGAGTGGAGACAGATACACGGAAGAAAAGCTCGCAGGTCAATCGAACGACGGGCTCTCCGCCGACGGCACGAGGGCTTCTGCTGATTACCAGCCGCATGAAACCAGCAGGCCCCACAAGCGCCAGAAGAGCGAGCGGATCAGACCTAGTCGTGGAAAGCGTGGACGACAGGCCTTCGGGGCTAACGCTTAACAGCCCTCCGTCTGCCGCGGCAGGCCAGGGACTCCCATGACTAGTATCCCTGGGAGGGTCCACGGACACGAAGGCACCAGCAGTACGCAGGAAGGCGAGGAAGGAAAGCGTTCCCCCACTGGGCAGGGAGGCCACCTCCGCCCTCCTCCTCTCTCCTCCTCCTCCTCCTCCTCCTCCTCCTTTTCCTCCTCCTCCTCGTCCTCCTCCTCCTCATCGTCCTCCTCGTCCTCCTCGTCCTCCTCCTCCGTTTCTTCCTTCTCCTCTGGGTTGGAAACCTATCAATATGATCCACCCTCCAGGTGTCTATTCATCGAAAAGTGTTCGTGGTCTGCCTGACCTGACATGACCTGGCCTCCTCCTCCTCCTCCTCCTCCTCCTCCTCCTCCTCCTCCTCCTCCTCCTCCTCCTCCTCCTCCTCCATAGCTCGCTTATATATCCGCCGATCCGGCGTGTGAGTTCCTGAGAGCGTGGGCTTGAGTTCGCTCAAGCTTCGCTCTGGCGAGGGGGGGGGGGGGGGCTGACGCGAGCTGACGCGAGCTGACGTTTTTCCGGCCCCGGGACCCGGGACCCGCGCCCCGGGACCGGCGCAGGACCCGAGACCCGGGACCGGCGCGGGACCCGGGACCCGGCACCCGGCACCCGGGATCGTCCCGGGACCCGACCGGCGCGAGACCCGGGACCCGGCCGAGACCCTGGACCGGCGCGGGACCCGGGACCCGGCACCCGGGATCGTCCCGGGACCCGCGGCGCGAGACCCGGGACTCGCGACCCGGGACCGGAGCGAAACCCGGGACCCGGCCGGGACGATCACCGGACCCGGGACCCGGGACAAGCGCAGGACCCGGGACCCAAAACTGGGCGGTCCTTAGCAAGGTTCTTGCGGGTTCCTACGACGACGACGACGCCGACGGGTCCCAACGACGCACTCCTTTTTCGACGCCGACGCCAACGGCGACGACGGCGACACCACAATCAGTAGAAATGAAACGTGTTCATCACTCGGATGAATATGTGTGTATGTGTATGTGTAGCTACACATACACATACACATACACACATACACATACGCATATGTGCATACACATATACATACACATAGACACATACACACACGCAGATGCGCATACACATACACATATACGCATACACACATACACATACACATGCACATATGCACATGTATATGACGCCCACATATGTGTATGTGTATGCGTATGTATGTAGGTGTATGAAGACGTATATGCCTCCGCCTGCTCGTCTTATCCTCCTTCCTCCCCCTCCTCCTCCTCCCCCTCATCCTCCTCCTCCTTAGCCCCCCCCGCAGTAGCATGACTCCTCCTCATTATCATCATCATCCTCTCCTCCTCCTCATCCTCCTCCTCCAACCCTGTTTCCCTGTCCCTTGTCTCCTCCTCCGCCTCCTCCTCCTGCTCCTGCCCCTTCTACTCCCTCCTCCTGCTCCTCCTCCCTCGTTTCCCCCCCTCCCTCGTTCCCTCCCTCCCTTCCTCCCTCCCGTCCCTCCCGCCCTCCTCCATCCTCCCAATTCCCTCCCTCCTCGCCGTCCCTGTCAATCTACTTCCCTCCTCCTCCTCCTCCGCCTCCCCCTCCTCCCCCCGCGATCCTAACTCCTCCCGCTTCCCTCGCCCCCCCCCCTCCTCATTCCTCTCACTTCCGCCCCCCCCCCCCCCCTCCACCCCGCCTGGTAGGAGGAGGAGGAGGAGGAGGAAGAGGAGGAGGTGGAGGAGGAGGAAGAGGAGAAGGAGGAGGAGGAGGAGGAGAAAGAGGACGAGGAAGAGGAGGAGGATGAGGAGCAGGAGCAGGAGCAGGAGGAGGATCGCTATGAAGCACCCGAATCTCTATGAAGCACCCGAATGCGTTGAGACTGGCTTTAATCCTCCTCCTCCTCATCCTCCTCATCCTCCTCCTCCTCATCCTGCGGTTGCTGATGCTGCTGACGCTGCTGCTCCTCCTTATCATCGACCCCATTATCATCCCCACCCTCGTCCTCATCATCGTCTTCGAGTTTTCCGAGCGGCGCCCAGCCGTGGCGACGCGCAGGGCCCTCGATGGGGCCATATGGGGCCTCGAACCTCGATCCTCGATGGGGCCATATGGGGCCTCGAAGGTCCATGGGGTCTCAAGTCGATAAACTGTAACTTCGATCGAAAACCTCAAACCTCGAATTTCGATCGAAACGGCGACGACGGCGGCGGTGACGGCGGCGGCGGCAACGGCGATTGCGAAGGCGACGGCGACGGCGACGACGACGACGGCGGCGACGACAACGAAGACGGCGACGACCCGACGACGGCGACGGCGACGACGGCGTCGACGACGGCGGCGGCGGCGACGACGACGACGCGTCCGCCGAGCCGCGTCCAGCCGCGGCGACGAGGAGGGCCCCCAAGGAAAACACAAACAAAATGCGCTGCCCCCGCCCCCCATGGGTGTTGTAGTACTTGTTGTCGTCGTCGTCCTGGCGGGGCGCGGTCGTCGTCGTCGTCGTCGTCGTCGCTCCCGCCAGCAGTTGCCCCCCCCTCCCCACTCCCGCCGCCGGCGGACGCCGGCTGGACGCCGTCGACGAGGCGCCGCCGCCCGCCGCCGCGCGCGCGGGGGGAGGGAGGGAAAGGGGGGAGAGGGAGAAGGCGAGATGGAGAATGATGATGATGAAGGGGAATAGCAAGGAGAAGAAGAGGAGGCTCAGGAGGGAGAGCGAGGCGGAGAAGGAGGAGGAGGAGGAGGGGGAGTAGCAGGAGGAGGAGGGAGGACGAGGATGAGGAGGAGGAAGAGAAGGAGGAGGAGGGGGCGAGGGAGAGGGCGGCCCTGCTCGGGGCGGGGGGGGGCCTCCTCCTCCTGCCGTTTCTCCTGCTCATCCAGCTGTTCACCGCCCTCCTCCTCCTCCTGCTCCTCCTCCTCCTCCTCGTCCTCCTCATCATCGCCATCATCATCTTGATTATCATTTCCCTCCTCCCCATCATCATCGTGATCGTCGTTTGCCTCATTCTCTACCGGCGACCTCCCTGCGGCGACGATGATGATGATGAGGAGGTTGAGGATTATGTTGATGATGATGATGTTTATTGTTTTACTGAATACCGTTCCTCGACCGACCCCTGTCGAGCTTGGAGTTGTAAGCAAGAAACGCGGGCAACTCAAATACGTGCTTTGCGTGCGCGGGCATAGCAGTCTTAATTGCAGACACCTCCACAGCAGTAGCTAGGCCTAGAACTCCAGACTTCATTTTGGCAGCGTGCCGCGCTGCCTCGAACTCAGCAACTGATGCGATGATGGCCCACTTGCTCTGGTCGCTCTGGGCGGCCTTATCCAACAATCGTGCAATGTCAGGCTTCGCGGCCCTAAACCTGGCCGATATCCAGATCTCTCTATTCACCAGAGACGCGGCTGCGAAAAACGTCAGACACGGGCCTTTCCGTAGGCCTTGGAACACTTCGGGCGTGACCAGACTGCCCCCGAGGATCCGGACGCACACCTCAACGAACTCAGGGATCTGGGACACGTCGGCCGCCACGACGACGCGAGCGACCGCGTCGCCTGCAATCATCGCTGGCAAAACGCGCATGCGCAGTGCAGCAGCCTGCCTGTCGCAGGCCTCAGACTGGTGAAGAAAAAACACAGCTTGGCCTTGGAGGTCACCAAGGTCGCCAGGTCTAAGTTGCTCTCGCTGGCGTGCTGCTTTCCTGGCCGCCGCCACAGATCGTTTTTTCTCTTCAGCTGTCTGCGCGGCTGCCTCCTCGACCAAGTCTGCATCTGGGTTGAAAACATGACCGGCATGAACTGCCTCCCTCAAGCGGTGGTCCCGCTTCGCCATCTGGAACGCAAGCTCCTTGTCGTGCTTAGTTGTCCACCCAGGCAGGACGGCAGATCCAGCAGCATCGATCTTGTCGAGGGCATCGGCCACCTCGACGGACTCCGCCACCTCGATTGCAGCTTGACGTCGCGCATGCACGAAATCCTTCCCGGCGAATTTGCAATGGGTCTGGCCCACGGAGCCGCCCAGCTTGCGTTTCGCAAGAACGCCAAAATCAAATCTGCGACCCCGCCCGTCCCCAGGACGGCTCACGCCCAAGCACTCCCGCCAGATGACGCGGGCTCTCACGATGACGTCAGACAACTCCTCGGGGTCCTCGGGCGTGTCCAGGACGACTTTGATGACGTCGTCCTCCGTGGAGCCCACGCCGTTCAGGCGCTTCGACCCAAGCACCTCGTCAATCTTGGAGAAGTCCTGCTCGACCTTGGACGTGCAGGCCCTGAACATGGCCAAGCGGTAGATCCCTTCCCTGATGGTGTGCGCCGGGTGCGCCGACGACATGGACTTGCGTGACTCCGCGCGGCGTATGGCCGCGATCCAAGAATCCAAAGTGTTCGCGCCAGTCTGCGTCCTGCGTTGCCGGGCCACTGGTGCGAGGGCGTCCAGCTCGTTCCTCAGGTCAGCCTCGCCCACGCCCATGGCGTTCGCGAGCACAGCGATGTCGCGGCGTCGCGCCGCCTCGTGCTCGCGGCCGCCGCGCCTGGAGCAAGAGGCAACAGGATGGGAGATGCGGCCCTGCTTAATGCCCGCCCCCCCTCTGAGGGGGGGGGGGGGGGAGGGGGAGAGGGGAGGGCGGGCGGAGAGCGGCGGCGAGAGGGGAGGGGAGGAGAGCGAAGAGGAGGAGGAGGAGGAGGAGGAGGAGGAGGAGGAGGAGGAGGCAAGTGCGGCGGAGGCTACATGGGGGTTGATTTGCTGTTGACTGCTCCGTCGCTCGTCGCTCGTCGGTGTCCTCGCCTTCCTCATCCCATTCCTCCGCCTACTACCCCTCATCATCATCACCATCATCATCATCATCATCATCCTCATTATCCTCATCCTCCTTATCCTTCTCCTCCTCCGCATCCTCCTCCTTATCCTCATCCTTATCCCTCTTACTCGTCATCATTTCACCATCTCACGCCTTCCTCATACTTCAGACCGTCGCCCTCGCCCCCGTGCGAGAGTTATCGCCCACTCCGGACCTGGATGCCGCATCGGCGTCCAGGTTGAACACGGAGAACCGCTGAATAAGCTCAAAGTCGGGAAACTCCGCGCGCATCACGTGCACGCACAGCTTGACCCAGCGAGACAGGCTATGCAGGCAGCTCTGGATGATAGCCTGAGGGACGCCGTTGCGGTCCCCGATCGTCTTGTAATCGGAACTATCGGTCCCCGACGGGACAACTATCGGAAACTGCCTCAGGCAATCCAGCATGTACTTCGTGTACGACAAGATCGTGCACACTCTGCCCTCCATGTACAATTCCACGATCCGAATCAAGAAGCAGTACACATCAGCATTGAGAGCTGACGGGTCGAAGTTCTCCCAGCTATCAACGCCCCTGGTGAAGGACAGCGCGTCGTCGCTCGCGTCGGCCATCAGAGCTAGCATCACGCATGTGCGAGTGTCAATCTTGAAAAGGAACTCAGCGCAACACTGCACCTCCACGCCCGACCGCATGACTATTACCTCCCGAGCAGTCATCACAAACGCCTGGAACCACACAGCAAACGTGCCAAGAGGACTTGCCAAGCTCTCGAACCGATGTTTTGCAGACCGCAGGGACACTAGTAGTTTGCTGTTTGCCAAGAATCCTGTTTCCAATTCGCAGCAATACTTTGTAAACATACGACGGAGATCAAGCGCCCTGTCAATTTTTTGAACAATGCTTCTCGGGCCGGACACGAAAAACTCAAGTAGCTCGCTGAGTTCCTCATCCGCCTTCCAGGGCCTCACAATACCACGCCTGGAACCGTGTGCTTTGTCTCGCCCGATGAGTTCCAGATTTGGCGCCAGCGGCGCCGATCCATCAGAAGGGTTGCGCATATCCCTCACAGAATTGATCTCGTCCGACGCGCAGTCCACAGCAACCATCCGGACAGTGGCAACCAGGTTGTTGTAGCCGGCCTTTTGGAGGCCGCGCGCCGTCAGCGAAGCAGACCCCCCAACGTGTTGTTGCTTTTTCCCTCCTCCCACCCCCTCATCCGCATCCTCGTCATCATCGTCATCATCATCAGCATCACCACCGCGACGCCCACGACCTCGCCCGAATCCCCGGACCCCCGAAAGCAACCCCCAAGAAACAAAACTTTGAGTACCACCACATGGCCTCAGAAAACCTTGTCGGGGGAGCTGCATCCACTGACGGCGGTGGCTCTGCCCGCGCCGTCATGGCGCGGATCATCACGTTGCGGGTCGCGTTGGTGATCGCCAAGGCCCCCGTGCCGAAGTGCTTGCGCTGCCCAAGCCGCCCGTGGCGGACATTCAGGTCCGCGTCGATTGCTGAAAACCGAAGCGCCAATCTCCCATGGCGCTCGTCCCGGAAGAGCGTCGTGCACATGCTGCGAGCCAGGAAGTCCCTATCGATGTCTGATATAGCTTCCCTCAAACACCATATCATTTTTGAAATCTTGTGTTTCTGCCCAACTCCGTGCATGCCCGCAGTAGGTGAGACGCCTTTCGGCAACTCCCGCAGCAAAGTCTCGAAGGCCTCAGCAGATGGCGCCCCTGCGCCAGCCAGGAGCTCCGCACTGTTTTCATTATACGCTGATGCGGCTTGATTGTGCGCATCCGAACTTTGGTGCCTCTTCAGGTGACACAGCTGGAGGGCGGCCGTCGTGTTCACGCTAAAGGTCGCCATGTGGCCGATCAGGCCAGCAGCGTTGCAGGCAACGCACCCAGCGCCGTAATCCCGCCACTGCAACCACGTGGTAGCGGCGAGTGGCCCCGCGTCTCCTAGCGGCAGCTCGGTCTTCCAGATGTCAGCGTGGACCACGAACTTACAGCGCGCACACTGCGAGTCCACGCACGTAGCATAATGGAATACCGACTCTTTGTCAACAATGGTGCCGCCATTGCGCGTCAACAGGGTCTTCAAGAAAGACTGACGGTCTCGCGGCATTGCATCGACAGCTGGCACCTCGACCTTCTTTGAGGCGATGCCCGTCATGAGCCAAAATGGCTAACCACGGACCGCCGCGCTCCGATCATGTCCAACGTCGGCCATGGCGTTGACCTCCCTGGGGGCACGCCCCCTCCCCAACGTTAGTAGGGACACGCGTAATCGCGTCCGCCCGCTTCCAATGGCCTTCCGCCGGACGCCGCCTAGGGCGAGAGGTCAACTTCCCCTGAGTGGATTTAGCTACGACGGCCATTCCCCGTTCTTCCATTGCCCGCATTTGCTGGCATTCCGCTGGGTGCCGCCTAGGGCGAGAGGTCAACTTTGCTGATCACCAGGTCGACACTCTAGAATAGCTATTCACGGGAATTCCCACGGTGGCGACGAAAAATCATAAAACACTATGCAGGGGGGTGCCAAAATCTGGCGGCCGACGCCCCTGACACAAAGTAGGTGGTACAAAAAAACTGGCGGCGAGACATTGCACAAATGAAAGGTGTCACTGAAAAAAAGGACGACGACCGACTCTGCACACACTATGCGTAGTATACGATGCTAGCAAAATAACATATTTGAAAACAAGTATAGGAAACGTATTCACTTTACGCATGTAATAAACAAATGCGCACGCCACTCACGCCGCCCACGCCCGACCCGAGCCCGAGCCCGAGCCCGAGGTGGGGAGGAGAGGGCGCCATGGAAGAATGGGGACGGGCGGGGCGGGATAGCTGAATCTACACGCGCAGCAAAGATCACCAGGTCTACTAAGCCTCTACGCCCCCCAGTGTCTGGGCGGGCCGCCTGGTTATGAAGGGGGCCGCTTTGGGGCGATATTGGTGGCCTCGGGGCGACATTGGTGGCCTCTTGGGTCGTCTTTCAGCATTCGAAGCCCGGGCTGGCAAGGACGCTCGAACCTACGAAGGGGGAGGAGGAGGAGGAGGAGGGGGAGGACGAGGAGGAGGAGGAGGAGGAGGGGAGGGGAGGAGGAGCAGGAGGAGGAGGAGGAGAAGGAGCAGGAGAATGAGGAGGAGGAGGGGGGAAGAGGACGAGGAAGAGGAGATGGAGGACGACGACGACAAGGAGGAGGAAGAAGAGGGGGAGTACGAGGAGGAGGAGGAGGAGGCGGAGAACAACGGGGGCGAGGATTCATTGGAGCCATCTTACGAAGATGCGGACCAGGACTAGGAGGTGGAGAGGAGGAGGGGGCGGAGAATGGAGATGGTAACGACGACGACGACGACGACAACGAGGACGAGGAGGGGAAGGAGTGGAAAGGGCATGGAGAAGCAGGAAGACAGGGCAGAAACATCGATGCAGGTAGGAGTACGAAGAGGAGGAGGAGGAGGAGGAGGAGGTGGAGGAGGAGGGGGAGGAGAAGAAGGAGGGGGTGCAGGAAGAGGAGGTGGATAAGGAGGGGGAGAGGATGCTGGGGGGGGGGGAGGAAAAGGAGGAGGAGAAGGATAACACAGTAGGAGGACAAGAGATGAGTGTGATGGGTATCAGGAGGAGAGGGGGAGAATATAATAGGGAGGGCGAGCTCGGGCTCGGGCATCCCCTCCTCCCACGCGCGCCCCCCCAGCTGGCGCGCCCCGGTCCACGACGATGCCGTCGTTGCCAAGCCAGGCACGCGGAGCGCGGCCAGGAGGGAGGAGGCAGGGGGCAGGGAGGAAGCAGCGGGCAGGAGCGGGGAGGAGGAGGGAGGGGGGAGGAGGGAGGGGCGGGGAGGAGGAGGGAGGAGGGAGGGAGGGAGGAGGGAGGAGGGAGGAGGCAGCGGGCAGGAGCAGGGTGGAGGGAGGAGGGAGGAGGAGGGAGGGGCAGGAGGAGGGAGGAGGGAGGGGCAGGAGAGGGGAGATATTACAACGCCAGAAGCCCCAGTACGGGAGCCGATGCAATGTCAAAGTACGCTCCGAATAAACGTGCGCCATAGCGCATAGCACAGCAAATGTATGTGCAACAGAATACCCGACGCAACAGCAACAGAAAAGGTCGCGAGGGCAAGACAGAAGCATCAGTGAATGCTCCGCGACAAGTGTTGTCACGCAAAGTCTGCTACGGCAACCGAAGACACTGCTGAAGGGCGTGTGCCGTTCAGTTCTGCCACAGCCACATGGTTTTCACAACCCGTTGGAGGAGCAGGACCGCAAACCGTGTCCGCCCAAAATGCTGCACATACAAATTCAAGTAAGTGACGTCATTTTGCGAGTGTCTTTGAACGACATTCAGCTCAACATCATCAAGAGCAACCCCACCAATAAGCTGCAGTATTGATAGATGGGCTCCGTAGCTCCGCGTGGAGAAGCACAAGCATGTCTCGGCGGAGCGCATGCAAACGTTGTCGCCGCTACTCAGGCCAGCCGTGCACTTTGTCATGCCGTTGCCAGGCCATCGGTGCACACGTAGATGAAGCTGTATGCGGGCATAGGCCGGATGGCAAGGCCGCGGGCGTCGGTGGCGATGTTCGCGAGGCCCTCATGGCCTTGCAGCATCTTCAGCAGGGCATCCTCTGAGGCCGCAGTCTCGCGGTCCGAGAAGGCAGCCACCACTACCATTTTCTTCCACCTGACCTTGTGGCCCACCATGTGAGTGGGAAGCAATCTAGGAGCGCGCACGTCCCGCTCGCACCTCCAGCACATGCCTCCTTCCCACCTCCACGCGGGATCGCTAGTGGACCCCACGTACGCGGATCCCCATTCACCGCGTGGCACGTAGTTCAGGACGCGCTGAACCAGGGCGCGCTGCGATATGTCCAGCAGTGGGCTCAGCACTTCGATAAACTCAGGGAACTTCGTGGACGCCTGCTGCGCGACGTCCTCCGCGTCCTCACGCGCCGTCGCCCAGAGGATGCGCTGGCGCTCGTCTGGCGACGGCGGCGGCGCCCAGCGCGGTGCTCTTCTGGCGACGGCGGCGGCGCCCAGCGCGGCAGCGCTACAGCCGTGCGCTGCAGCAGGTGCAGATGCGGCGCAAGTCCCAGACCAGCCCGGAAGATGATGAGGATCGCGAGCGCCCGCCGCCACCCCAGCGAGAGCGCCCGCCGCCCGCTGCTGGCTTCCCGAGTCGTCGTCGTCCGCCGCCAGCTCCGCGGTCTCGCTGCTCCCCACGGACTTCCGGATGGGCGCGGACAAGTCGAAAGCGTCGTCTATGTTGAGGTCGATTCCGGAGTTGAAAGCGTCTATGTTGGCTTGCACTCCACTCTTCTTGAACGCGCCGTTCTGCAGGCCACCAGAGGAGCACCCAGCGTCCGCCGCCGCCTGCAGCCAGCCAGCGTCGTCGTCGTCCGCCGCCGCCAGCAAGCCTCCACCAGGGGGGTACCCGCCAACAGGCGGAGCAGGCTCGCCAGCGCCCGCCACAGTGCGTTGGTGTTGCTGCCTGTCTTCTTGCCCGTCGCCGCAGCAGGCCACGGCCGTCGTCGCGCCGTCCGCTCCTGCTCCAGCAGCTCGTTCGGGCGCCGTGTCGGCCCCAGCAGCAGTGTCCACCCGTTGGCCTCCAGGACTGGTGGTGGCGGTTCCCTCAACCCTCCCAGCAGATCTGTCGACGACCACCCTGCTACTAGGAGGGCTTCGACTTCGGCCCGGGGACGGGCTGCTGAAGCAATGCCTAAGGAGACGATGTCGGAGAGGCGGCCACCGTTCCGCCAAGTTTGGCGACTCCAGCAACCATGGGCGCCGCTGTGGTGCTATGGGCAGCGAAGTAATGGTTCTTGAGTTTCGTGAGTGTGGGCACCGCTGTGCCCTTGCAGATGATGATCGGGTTGGTTGAGCCAGAAATTGGCTGCATACATGAAAGTTTCGCATGTTGAATCCCACCAGCCTTCAGGGCTGAGATGATACTTTGGCGAACTTTGTCTTGCCTATGCCAGCCCCCATCCCCCTCCTCTGCAGCATTGCCCTCCTCCGTTCAGCCTCCTCCATCTCTTCACCATCCTCATATCATCATCAGTCATCCTCGTCCTTCTGATCATAACCATTATCCATCATCAATGGTGGATGGATGTTTTTTTTTTTCTGCATGTGCAGTCGCAGCCATGTCAGTTGAATTCCACAACAAGTAGTTGAGCTCGAAGCTCAGCTGGCGAGAGCCATATAGTGGCTGGCGCCCAGCTCTTACTAGCCAGACGCACAACAACTCGATCACACCTGAGGGCGGTGCCTAGCTACTAGCCAGGCGCACTAAAAGCTACATCAAAACAGCAGTGAGCGCGGGAGGCTACGCAGAACTCCATCACAATTGCTGAGGGCGGCGCCTAGCTACTAGCCAGGCGCACTAAAAGCTACATCGAAGCAGCAGCGAGCGTGGGAGGCTACGCATAACAACTCGATCACACTCTGAGGGCGGCGCCTAGCTGTTACTAACCAGGCGCGCTAAAAGCTACAATGCACATCAGTAGGATTGGGAGGCCTGATGCGTCGACTCAAATCCCTGAGTTGCATCTGCCAGCATCCCTGCTGCGAGCGTCGACTCCCCCAGGCCGAAGCCGCTGTTCCCAGGGGTGCACTCCGCCGGCGGCGCCGTCGGCGGTTCCAACCCGCCAGGGCAGCTGTCCTCTGGCTGGTCAGGGAGGCTGTCATCACGCCAGCTGGCACCACGCGCAATCGTTGGCAGCATGACGGCGCGCGGGGTCTCGAAGACGGGGGCGGGGTCCTGGGAGTCGTCCAGGATCTCGATCGCATCCCCGCGGCCACCACTGCGGGAGCGACTCCGCCGGGGAACGATGCCGCCGACGCCGGATTCCTGGAGGCGGAGTGGGGGGCGGAGGAGAAGGAGGAGGGGCAGGGGGGCAATAACATTACAGGAAGACGACCACGACTGGGCGGAGTCCGCAGGAACGAGGGACGAGGAAGAGGCGAGGAGGAGGAGGAGGCGGCGATGGAGACGACGCGAGCGAGGCGGGGGAGTAGGGGAGTCGAAATAAGATGAGGGCGTGGAGAAAGAAGAGATGGAGGAGGAGGTGGAGGAGGGGGAGGAGGAGGCCTTGTTGGCGGCGGACGCCCGCTCCAACTGGCGGCACGCCCTGAACTCCTTGAAGGTCCCCAGGCTGTGCCAAGAAGGGGGTG